ATAGGACCGATTTAAAGCTGACTTTGAAAATTATGATATATATTCCAGGCTACGTGCTACGCTATAATGTTTGGCACACGTGTTCTAACAAGCGTCAGCTGCCGATAGGCAGCGTTTTCTCAGCAGGTTGAAAAATTGCTGTAGGGCCCTTTTAAGATGTGCATACGTATTGAACATTCGCGGTAGCTTAGAAAAAATGCAATATTGTTTGTCTAGCATATTAAATGCCCAGACTCGAGCATTCTTGTGTAACATAGTATGTGACGACTCATTAAATTCTCTCACATCTACAATAGTACATCACTGTGAGTCTCAGTGAGCTTCCTTGAACGGGACTAGAATTGCAGTGTAAGATAAAAAAAATGTTTGTGAGTAAGCTCACAGTACACACGCACGGTGTTATCCGGCCATCTTATTTTGGGTAGAACGTTCCTGAATAAAGCTTTTAGCGCGAAGATCTATGCGAAAAGACTACCATCATTAGTGCACCAGTCATAGAGAGTGGTAAAAGAGCGTTTAAAAATAAGTTGCTCACTGTAGAGAATAATCAGCTGTAAAGGCGTTTTGGGTAAATGACGTGCTGTAGAACTGACTGTCAAGAATATGGAGAATGTGGCCTTGAATTCTAGCTCAATAAGTACTTAACAAAAAAGAACATGCACATCAAGTTTAATCTGCTGATTTTTGCTCGTTTGTTCCTCCCTTATCTAAGCAATGATTATAAGAAAACTCACTATCTTGCAATCATTTCTAGTGGTCACAAAAGAACGAAAAAAAAAAACCAAACCCAGTGACATATATTCATCGCCGACATTTTATCAAGTGGATGTACAAAACGATTTTTATTTTCGCTATAAAATGTTTCAAAAAGCAGCAAGGTAATGTAGGGTAGCGTAAACTTATTCCATTAACTTGTGCGAACGATGCTACGTTATTAAGATTATTACAGCTCCAATTTTTTTAGACCAGCCGAAACCAGCGGAATGATAACTCAAGTGCCATCGGTATTGGCTACATGTACAGGTGTAAAAGTTTACAATATGTGGACAGTGAATAGCGATTGTCAAATGACTAATTCTACAGCCTAATTGCTTGCACAGCACCACACTTTGTCCTCCTGAAGTGATTAATGTGAACTTAGGTTTATTTTTTTACTAGTGCAAAAACGAGTGTCCATAATGTATGGTTTCCGATATGTACCAGCACCCGCCAATTTGCAGTACACCTTCTTGGTAGGAAGCGCAGCCATTATTACACAGAACACACAATGCAAGCATTTGTGTTGTCTGTTCTGTGCAATAGTGGCTGCGCTTTCTACCAAGATTGACTGATATGTGGGGTTTAACGTCCCAAAACCACCATATGATTATGAGAGACGCCGTAGTGGAGGGCTCCGGAAATTTCGACCACCTGGGGTTCTTTAACGTGCACCCAAATCTGAGCACACGGGCCTACAGCATTTCTGCCTCCATCGGAAATGCAGCCGCCGTAGTCGGGAATCAAACTCGCGACCTGCGGATCAGCAGGCGAGTACCGTAGCCACTAGACCACCGCGGTGGGGCCTCCTTTCTACCAAGATGGATTCATATCAACTGACCCGATACAATTGTTTATTGAGTTGCAGTGCGCGCTGTGAAATTAGAGGTGCTTAGGTGCTAAAGCGCCCATGAACAACATCTGAAAATGCTAAGAACGAATGCGTTATTACCTCCCAGTGCCTCCCGTATTTGCGTCACAATTCGTAATGTCAGCTGTTGGTTCACGTGACGTACGGATGAAATAAGCTCTCGATTGGTCGATATATACGAGAAATACTTGTTGTAAATTGTCACCTGCCCCGTTTTTTCACGTATAGTCACATGCTCATTCTGGCTTTTCTCGCATGACTGTCGTGCGGGATGAATGGATTTCACTTTGTTTTCTGCGTCTGCCGCTGCGCAAGGGGAAATAGCAGCGTGTCGAAAAGCGCCAAATCCTGACGCGATTAACGCATAGTGCGTACATTTTTTGTCAAGAGATAGGTGGTGACGAAAAGATATCGATTGTAGGAAGGGTATACTGAAGGTGAGAAAGAAACTAATATCTCGTCTTCGAACGCGATGGGGTTTAGTGGTCCTTTATGGCAGCCTCTCTAATTAGGTGTGATGTGAAAAAAAAACAGTAACTGTAACTGTACCTTGAAAACCCTCCCATATTGTCTCTATACCTTGTCGTAGGGGCATGATTAAATATAAAGTAAATACGAGCATCTGTTGGCTTTGATATTATCAAACTATTCTAAGAGGGCGACTCCACACATGTGAATATGGTTGACGCAGCTTCAAATATATAAAGCAGCGCCGTATAGATAGCAGCACCATTTTCTTCCTTGATATCAAATCTGCAATCCTTAGCGTTCAACAGACAAATCATAAAGCTAGCATAAACTAGTAACTTCCAAACAGCCACCTCAATCGGCCGAAATGCAATTGTGACAGCCCTCTATTGCCTTGGCCTGTTTAGCGTTGTGCCCGACGCTGTACTAATCCTCTATATATTCTATAGTACCAGCCTACAAGGGCAATAAAATACCTGCATGTTAAGTTTACCTGAGTAGAGTTCAAACAACCTCTGTGCTGTATACGACTTAAACTTCGTCAGAGCCAGAAAAAAAAACAAGTGAAAAAAATATGCACGTAGACAGTGACCGGTGCAAGACGTGCAAGCGAAACTTGTCTGAAAAGAAGACAAAACCGAACGAAGTGTCCACATAAGTGGTGTCCGACGTCGTGCACACTTTGGTCGGCGTGCATACGACGTGCGCCATATAAATTAGCTCGAGTTCTAGTACGTTCTCTACTATTTATCTCATCCTCGGGCAACATGCAAGTTTGAAAAAAAGGAAGCGAAAGGAAAAAGCGCTGTTCGTGCGTGCGGCATGAGGAGAGGAGGAACGTAGGGTAGTGGGAGACTGGGGCAGCTTGTTTTTTTTTTGTTTTTTTTTCTCTTTCGCTAGAGTCCTTCCTAGCGATCCACGTACCTGTGTGGTTTGCCCGACTATAGTCATCCCGTACAGAAAGAAGCTGCGCCCCTGCAGGCTCAAAGCTCGCCCTCACTTCTCATTCTGCTACGTTTGCGGGGAATGATCTGGACAGAGAAAAGAGCCCGCACGGGCAGAGGTGGCGTTACAGGAAGGGATGAGAACCATGCTGCGACCAAAGGCAACCATAACAGCGCCGACGTGCTTGGTTGAGAGAAGCAAAAAGAAAAAAAAGAGGGGGAGAAAGAGGCACCTAATAAGAGCGGGAGCACCGTACGCTCGGCCCAATTTCTCAGCGCTAACGACATTATCGAGTGGCGGCCACCACCATTTTCCTATTGCTTGTCCATTAGCACAACTCCCTCGGCAAGTTTTCTTGCGTCGTTAAGTTAGAACTGCTTACGGCTTAGTGCAGAAGGAATGCCTTCGATATTTTTTTTTACTTTTACTTGCTTAGCATACGTGGGTTAGTGAACGCCGCCTTTACTGATGCAAATATACGTTTCTTTTTTCCGGCCATCGGAGCACTCTCTAAAGGCCAATCGGATATTTTTTATTTATTATGGTAAGCAATGGCGATACCGTTACCCTTGCTTGTCGCTTTATTTGCCATCATCAGTAGGGTCATCGCTAAAATGATGTTGCAATGGCCACTCGTTTCGCTCATTTCTTGGGTCACTGGCTATTGTGGCAGAAGTACAGAAAAGGCTGCAACGCACTTTTCTGAAGTCTTGAGGGCTCTGCAACCACCGGGTTCACCAAACAGTGTGCTCTATTTGGTCGTCGCGTCTACTGTTTGCCCTCGAGATGGGTCGGGGAGCGTTGGGAACGAACGCTAATTTACGTGAGAAGGTCACTCGCATATCGAAAGCCCGATTTGTGATGGCGGTGTGTCTCAGGCATGACTCGTGGTGTGCCACTGCTTTCATCGCTTAAAACGCTCAATAAAAGTATACGAACTGACGTTGAAGTATCGCCTTCAAGCGTCATTCGTGTGCAAAGGTAGCTGATGTTGAAGGCAACGAGAAAGCCAGACCCTCTATTTTGTATCGAGAGCGACTGATGTGCAGAAAGGCAGGATACTGGTGCGAAGGGGAGTAGTTAGGAAGCAGCCAGACAAATACCGATAGGGTATTAAAATAGGGTGTTTTCTGGTCTATATCATTCCCTATAACACTGGTTCTTACAGGCCGCTCTTGTTTCGTATGCAAACTTTCCCGCGAGCCCCAGCTAGGATTTAGAAGCGCCATTCAAATGGTGCATGTGCTCTGCATGCATAATGCAGAACCGATGCAATTGTAAAGCTAATTTCTGACGCCTTGCCTTTGGTATCGCACTAAGAAAAAGGTGCGATGTCAGTAAGTTTAGTGGATAAGTGGCTTGCAACTGGGGAAACACTTTTTCGGACGTAAGGTTGCCATAGGGCATGCATTTGACGAACATGTTTTATGCCAGAGCTGTTCGTAGAGCGAAGGGGCAGACTCTCAGGCATCCTGGCGGGCTGCTTTCGCTGTTTCATGCCTTCGAGATCAGAGTGGGTCAATGCCTGTTCGGGAATATGGGTTCAATGCCTACATACACAAACTCTTGTTACGTAAGAGCATTTTTGTGTTTGCTTGACTTATCCACGCCGTTGATGGACAAACGGGCAATACGATAGAAGGAAGATGTAAAAACTCAGGCCTCATGTCTTTGAGCAGGAAAGGTTTGATGAACTCGTGTCCATATTGCCACGTTAAACTGGTCAGCAAAGCGGTTTCGCATTTAGTACGACGCAAATCTGGAGCTGTCGAAGAGGCCGGTTGTTTTGGATGAAACTACCATTACTTGGTCGTCAAAATCACTAAATATATGCTGCGAGAGATGTTTGGGGATAACGGAACCTCACATGCAACTAGTATTTTTACAAACCATGCCTGCAACTCAGCGCAAACGTTTCAAGCAGCAAATGATGTAGAACGAAGTGAATATCAATACTCACGTTGTAGATGGCATAAATGAAAGGATTGTAGCAGGAGTTACTCATGGCCAGCCAGTGTGTACAGAACCAGATTATGTTTATGTACTTGTACCTGCATGAGACATACTGACTGTATTAAGCAAGAAACACACCCACACACACACACACAACACACACACACACACACACACACGCACGCACACACGCACACTCACGCACAGCAACGCAACACATTATTACGACAGCAATGGCACAAGTTTGCCCGAACTATACTTTCAATGCTTATTTTATCAAGGCATCTGAAAAACACACTGAAAACTCCGAAATAATACATAGCCATAATTTACTGTGGCTGCTTTTGATCGCATGAAGCTTAGTTTTCTGCAGCTGTTTTTCTTGCCAGTAGCAGTCCTCGTCCCGTCATTACCGACCCCTTTACGCGTCCCGTCATTACCGACCCCTTTCGCACACCACAGAGGATAGAAGTTTAGTACAGGTGCCAATATGCGTTTACCTTCACATTACAACCAGGCGCGCTTTCTACTAGTTTTTACGGAACATATTCTAAAGCTCTGGCCACTTTGTGTTGTTTTTTCAACTTGCTTGCTGTAAGTATGCGGAACTTGTATTTATATTTCGGAAGGCGCCGCAGTCAATCTTGAGCGAATAGAGACAAACAGAGCATAGAGACGTCAGTACAATGCAATGCGTCTGATGTGCGGGCATGATTTATCTAACGCACAAATAGCTCCTGTAAATACCAGCGCTGCAGCATCAAATGGTTTAAAAGCTGTACGAATCACTGAAATACGCTAATCCTTTAAATCTCACAGCTTCTTGCTATTCAAGTTATCTACAGTATTGTGTTATTAGTAATCTAACGAGTCTCCATAACTCAATCGCCATATTGGATTATTGAGCACAAACAATTGAGCGCTTATACGAAGTCCAAACCAGCAAGCGTTCTTTAAAATAAATCAGTCAGTTAATCAATCAGTCAATATGATCATGTCATTCTTGAAGAAGTCCAAAAGTATTTCAATTTTTATCGTTTGTGGTCAAAGCCTTCCAAACGTTCGAACAATATCAATGAATCGGTTCCACTGTTGATGAAACGTCAATACCAAACGAGATGTTTTCACCGTAGAAATACGCAAAGCCGTTGTACTTGTGCAGCGATTTTAAGTAGCCCCGTGCACAGGGGCGCTATAAGCTGAAGATTTCTGCGAGGTAGGGAGGGAAACACCTTGAATTGGTCATTTTTTGCTCTGTAATGGTCATTTTATGACACCACGACAAAGAAAATTTCGGGGCGGGGGTGGGTGATGGTTCTGGTGTGCCCCCCCACCCCTCCTGGCTACACTACTGCCGTTTGGTATAACATATGTTTTGGGACTCTGTGATACAGCACACCAGCACAAGTAGGGCTGCTACTCGGGGCGTTTCACACAGTTGCGAGTGTTTAATGACTCATATAGTAGTTCCGTACGATCATATTACAATTATTTAGGCAGCAGTGTGCAACTTACTTGTCAATCTTTGGAAAAACTTCCCGGAGAATGTTGTATAACTGATAAGGGAGCCAGCAAAAGGCGAACAGTGCCACGATGACAAACAGCATCTTGATCACCTGCGTCAGGGAAGAAGAAATAATAACTCGTTGTGATGCACATTCGTAAGTTCCACGAAACGTGCACAAAGAGAAAACTGAACCAGATGAGCGAATGACTTGATTAGGCCACCTGGAATTTCGCTCACGAGTTTGTTCTGCCAGCATGCATTGGCAGTGCACTTCTCCCAAGGATAGCGCGAGTCACCGGTGTTGACAGGGTGCGCTTGTGGAGAGAGACATACACTGAGCTAGAAAAATATTGACTTGTGGTGTGCTTACGAAGGCGAAAGACGTGCAAGGATTTGTGTTTTCCCAACGAAGGCATGACTTGAATCCCAAGAAGCTAGGCCAGGCACCCCAGCCTAGGGCGCATCTATGAGGAAGTGCGGCGACAGCAACATTACTTTCGTACCATCACTCTTCCTTTTTTTCTATTCTTTAGTTCATATTAAGACTTGGTCGGACTGATGCTACAGCTATAATGTCGGCGAGACTTCGAAGAACAATAACGTTCCTAATTTCGTTATTACGGTGTGGTCCACACATTCTTCCTTTTTTGGTTAAGAAAGCAATCTGCCTTCATCGTGTCAAGCCTTGAAATATTTATTTATATTTTCTATCTTCATATGAAGACGGTCACTCAACATTGTTTATTTCTATTTTTATATATACCTCTTCTGTTTTTTACGGCATGTATTACAAAATGACGTAGACTCTGCAATCAGAAGATACTGCTAGAGCTACTAGAAGTAGGAAGAGACGGATCAAGAAAGAAAGACAATTGTATCATCTGCGGTTTTATGTCTTAAAGCCATGATATGATTACGTGGAACGCTGAGGGCTACGAAAATTCCGACAATCTGGTGTTCTGCAACGTGCGCTCATATTGCAAAGTACACGTGCATCTAACATTTGCCTACGTGCAAATGCAACCACCGAGGCCAGGATCAAACCCACGATCTTCAGATAAACTAACGAACACCGCGAGTACGATTGGGCAGTTAATGCACGAGGAGGTTTGACTCTTACACCAGCAGCCAACTGCTCGCGTATACGGATACATTCACAAGCTCTATAATATACGGTTGTGTTCGAGAAGCGCATGTGCGCAATAATGGCCCCTTGTGCCCCACCGGAGTTATTCGATCGGTGCTCCAACCTCTTTGCTTCCAGGAATGTTCTGACACTTATGCGGCTGAAGCTAGAGCGAGCAGTGGCAATCAGTGATAGCCAGTGGGTGCAGAGTTGCGCAGAGCGATTTCGCGCAAGTATGGAATGCATGCTACCACAAGAGGCGGGTTTCCGTTATGTCGAAAAGTGACAGCTGTGCTGTCAGAAAAGTAATGGAGAGATCTAAAGCAACTGTAACACCCCCCTCCTTTCATCTACCCTTATATATCTAATGCTGAGAGAAATCTCACAAATCTATTGAAAAAAAAATTAACGCAGATTCGCACTAGTGACGCCAAGCACGATTGATGTGGGGAGCTTGACGGCTTCCCTGTTTCTTTTTAGTTTTCTCTTTCATTCTTTTGCTCTCTTTTCTACGTTCGTTCTGAGTCTTTCATGTCTATGTTATTTTTCTATTTATTTATTTTTCTGTATATATCTATTTCTATCTCTTTCTCACGGTTCGATTTTCTTTCTCTTTCTTCCACTTAAAATCCAGCTGCCGGTGTTGCCGGCAGTAATGAGGAATATTTTCAACGCAGCTTCACCTGTGGGGTCCTTAATCGAAGAAGCTCTAAAACGCAGGTTCGCTTGAAGAATGCCGTAACGATTCGAAGTCAGAAGTGTCAGTACGTTAAATGGGTCAGAAGCAAGAGGGCAGAACCGAAGCAAATCGTCGAACTATAGCGTTGATGATGTGAGACAACTGTGTTTGCTCCTGCTTTTAGCATAAGTTTCATTACATGATCGAAAATTATTCAGCGATAGCCTTGCACGAACTCGCAAGATAAAAAAAAAGGGCAGATTTACGTTCACGGCGAGATGATTGAGGTAGCAGCAGAGTGGTGGCGGTATTCTCCTCCCCACTCTCACCTCATAATCTTCATCACTCTCTCTGTCGTTCTGAGTGCATCTTGTTTTTTGCCGGTATTTCTATCCTTCCATTTCTTAATCTCTATTTGTACATTGGTTGCTTCCTCTTTCGATCTCTTTCTATTACTTTCTGTGTCTTTTGCGGCTTTCTTTAGTTCTCTCTCTCTCTCTTTCTCACTCTTTGAGAGGCATGCCTTACTCTTTCCTCCACTCCTTTTCTTCCTTTACACTCTATAATTTATCATCCACTCCCTCGCTCCCCACCCTCAGCCCCTTGACATACTGTACTATGAACGGCTATGCCATCCTTTGCTAGCGGCTTATCTTGCAATAATGTGTACGCGGATACACATCTCGCCACGCGAACATACTTTTTTCACCTCGAATTTCTCTCTTTCTCTATCTTTTCAATGTATCTCCATTTTTTTCTTCCTATTCTTTTGTCTCTCCCACGGTAGTCGTCCGCTCGCCCTGCAGTCCGCTCCGGAGGAATCGCCGGGCGCTTGTGCGTTGGGAGCCAAGCAGAAGACGACCACGACGACGATGACGAAGTGGACGAAGAGAGCGCGTGCCGGTTCATTATGTATAATTAACGTTACATTAAAAAATCATCTAAGAAGTATTTCAGCTCTTACTAAACATTAATCATAAATTCAGTATGTATGATCCGCCCGACTCATCGCCGATCCCCCAGAGCGGGTAGGTGCCAATGATCCAAGAAGCATCATCATCATCATCATCATCATCATCATGGTTTCTTTCTGATGACATCGGACAAACTACGGTGACCTACGGCAGTTCGGCTATTCAAATGTGTTAAAGGAAGAAAGAAAAAAGAAAGCATGAAAGAAAGGAAGGAAGAGTGAAAAAGAAAGAAAAAATAAGGAAGAAAGAAGGAAAGACAAAAGAAAAGAAAGAAAGAGAGAACGAAAGAAAGAGAGAGAGAGAGAAATAGAGAGAGAGAAAGCCCTACCAAAAACATTTAGACATTGGACCTTGCGTATGGATTTAAAAAAAAAGCAGAAGGCAGACGTAAAGTATCTGCACTTATATATGTTCCTTTAAATACAAGAATTGTGCTATCGGATCGCGTTGTGCATTCATTCCGACTACAAAATTGTATGCAGGTTCGGCGTGTTAGAACATTCATTCATAGATATACACATATAACGACTACATAAGCGTTAGTGCACTATATTTTGGAATGTGGATTGCTTAGGACACAATAAAAAAAAATTATGCGGTTCGACACACAAAACATCTATCACAGTGAAGGTTACGACGACAAAGTAGAAAGAGGAGTTCATTAACTATAATGTGGTAATTTACCGAAGTTACGAACGGAAGGCCTATAGCTTCGCATGTATAGCACATTAGAATGAGATTTAACGCCGGGGCTATAATCACGTTTGCACCATTGCACCATAACGTTATAGAGTGTACGAAACAGCGCGCTTCTTAAACAGCAATAATATCTCGGGTTATAACTTACATAAAGTCCATACTTGCTCCCTATCTTTTCAGGCTAGGGATTACTTCAATTCGCGAACGCATGGCCCATTTCCAGAGTGCACTGAGCCGGTAGCTACAGTTACACGCCTCCATTGTTTACTTTTGCATGCAGATATTACTCTCAATCGGCGCACACAATACACAGCAGCTTTAGCTCGGGAACCCGTACGCATAAAAAAAATTTCTCCGACGGCTTTGAGCGACACAAAACAGGAGATTACGAGTCCCACTTTTGCGTACTTGGCTCGCAACATAAAAGCGCCGCATTGTGGCCCACTCATGGGCTTCGCTGAAGAGCGCACAATCTGACTCGTAATCGCATTGTTGCCGTATGCTCACGCCCCAAGGGAGAAGGATGCGCCAATCTAATTTTACTGTTTTTTTCTCGTGGGTATTTTTTAAATATTCGTATGTGTGGGGCGATATTGCGGCTGCGATGGCAATGTTAAAAGAGAAAAAAAAGCTAACTTCACACGCAGTTCACGATTTCCCCGTATATCCTACGATTAAAAGTGGGCACCGTTTTCGCTGAACGGAAGGAAAACCGAGGCAGAGCCGTTAACATTTCCTTTGTCTTCTCTAACATTTCGTTTTCTTCCTCGCAATAAACAAAGATGTGCAGCTTTTGTTCATCCCTTTTGAAGCTAATTCGAGAGAAATGAAAGTAAATCTTTTCAAACAATCGATTCAAAGCTGCAGGGTCTCGGTAAATATTCTACTTTGGAGAGAGGCCAATAATCTCAAAAAGTATGCGTGCGTTTTGTTTCCGTCGGTAGAAAAACTTTAATCCTCAGTATGGAGGAGTTCATGGCATAGCCTAGAAGTAACGCTCTTTTCAAAGCGAATGGTTAGGCTAGCAAGAATTATATACAGAGAATGAACAGATCGTTGAGAAAAAAAAACGTGATGTTTTTTTTTTGCACTTTTAGAAAAACTAATCCTCTTGAGCACCTAAATAACCCGCACGGGTTTTGATGACTGACGCCGTTGCATAGCAAAACTTATTGTGGTCTTATTGGCAGAAGAATTTTGTCAGCCATGCACACCACACTATAGTAGTGAACACAATGACGCCTCATTTAAAAGGTACCATGAAAAACACTGCATGCATAATCATTTCGATAGTTGCGCCATGGAAACAGTATTCTATATTTTTGCTGACGTTCACAGGCTTTCAACGGTCAGACGGCAGGAAGGCGGCGGATCAATTCAGCCTCACGGCGGAGTATCGGACATGTAAAATCGATGCTTTGCACAATTTCAGTGAATTTGTACGTTCGCTCTTTATACGCGGTTTCTTCGATGCGTATACACTAACGAAAGCTGCCATGGCCCAGACAGCGCGTGAAAAATAAATCGCAACAGCTGGACAGCTGGATGCAATCACTTTCCGAGGCTGACATAATCGAGGACCCACTTGCGCACATTACAAACGAAAACGCCATTTTTTTATTTTTAAAGCA